GGTGGAGGGGAGTGTCATGCCCCTCCGTGATCTTAGCCGTCAGCGACCAAGGATCGAAGTCAAAAAACGCCTTCGCCGCTTCCCAGTCGCCGTTGTATATTGCCTTCACCAGCTCCACGTAATAGTGAGGGTCCTTCACCAAACCCTGCTGCTGAGCAACCTCCACCTCCACCTGCTCCATATTAACGTACGTACCCAGGAAAGGGAACACAACAACAATTAATATTAAAATAATATACAATTATATTATATGTGATCTCTACACCAACTGGACAAATTGATTTAATATATTATATATATAGGAGTCCCGACGGCTTCTTTGTCATCCTTTCTTATTCTTTCCTTCTTTTGCGTTCCACGAGCTTTTTGGCTAGGTACGAGAAAGAGCGAGCTCAGGTGTGCGCCAAAAAACAATGGGAGGGAATCGTACGCACTTTATACATGTTTTGCTTTGTCTTTATTTCTTCCTTTGCTTAAACGCTGGAAATATAACAAGGTTCTTAAATATATATGCTACTCATCTTTCGTCGTGAACCTCGTTCATAGAAGATTTTTGTGGGCAAAACCCTAATACTTTTACTAATACTTACTTAGTATTTAAGGGATTTGAACTGAAATATCTCGGTTTAAAATTAAACCAGTAATAGTACTATTATATTAAATCCAACACTTATCGACAATGATATTCACCAGCTAAGCATTAACACGCCATGCATATACACTTCTCAACTCCAATGTGATCTATATCTTCTCAAGTATAGTGAAATTGGCTTTCTCCTGGCCGTGGACTAGCTAACACACATTGTGTTAGTGAACCACATACATATGTGAGTTTTTTTTTTACTTTCTTGCATTGTCGATTTCCCGATCAAGTTGCTACTAATGACTCGAATTGGTTGTGATAAACCTGTTTCCGTCTCGTAATAAATAAATAAAAACCTGTTTTCGTCTCCACTTCGATATGATGTCTTATCTTTAGTGTACTGTGTTTATGCTCTCTTAAGCGAGCGGATACGGTGACAACCCATACTAGAGTTGTCAATTTGACAACCAAGTGCAAATTGGATAGTCCACAAAAATATCTTATTAATTACTTTCCTTTTTGTATTAATTATATTTTAGGAATTTAAAACTCACGTTCAATACAATTATTTATTTTAAAATTTAAATCCTAGCACAAATACATGTCTCTCTTCATATCTCTCTCTTCCTTTTCCAGGAGCCATATCACTCCGACCGCCAGACTTTCTCCGGTGATATCCTTCAATTGTACTCGCTCCGACCACCTGTAAAAAAGTATCACTCCGTCACTACGCTAGTGGTAGTGTTTTCATCTAGTGGTACGTTACCACTACTCTCTGGTAGGGTACCACTGCTCACTAGTAGTGTTACCAATGGTACTGGTAGTGTACCACTAGCACATATAGAGTACCGTACCAGTGGTACGAGTACTAGTGGTACCACTACTAGTAATACGATGCCAGTGATAGTGGTACGCTACCAGTGCTAGTGTTACGATGCCACTACCACTGGTAACGCTACCACTAGAGACTAACACATAAACCATATCAGGAATCTAGAAAATCACATATCTGGAAAAAAAAATCAGGGGATGAGGTAAGGGAGAGAAGGTGACCTCGTGGCGGCGTCGATGGTGGGAGACGGAGGGCTCCGATGGGGAGAGGGTGGTATGCGCCGAGGTGGAGGGAGGCGAAAGGTTGTGGGACAACGTTATTGGAGGGGCGCGACAAGGGTGGAGGGAGGCGGAGGGCGGCGGCAGCAACGACGGAGCTCGGCGGCAACAATGCAGTCTGCAGGAGAGAGGGAGGAGGTAGGGTTTTTTCTATTTATATGGGAGGGTGAATGATTGGGTGTGGTAAATATTTTCCCTTCCAAAAATACTCTTTCTTTAATCTTAAGCGTCAATTTGAAAAAGTGAAAAAAGAAACAGGAGAGAGAGCATATCCTAGGGCTAGGAAGTGGGTTGTGAATCTGACAACCCCCTCAACGGTATCCGCTCCCCTCCCTTAATTAGCCTTTCAACAGTAGTCTTATATAGTTTGTGTATCAATACTTAGTAATGATATGTTTGTTAATTCATTTACTTTCTGATATTTCGTTAGAGAAATGCTCTCAACTTTGGCTAACGGCGAAGGCTCACCGGTGGCTGATCCATCTCTCACTGGGCGGCCGTCGGATCCCTCTTCGTAAACGATGCAAGGGCAACTTTGGAAACCTCTCTCCCTCTCAAAAGATGGCCCGAAACTTTCACATCTATTTTTTGGTGATGATTTGATTTTGTTTGCAGAAGCATAAAGGAGTCAAATTGATCTAATCAAAAGTTGTTTGGCAGATTTCTGCTCTAGCTCAGGCCAAAGATTCAACCTCAATAAATCAGCCTTGTACATCTCGCCCAACATTCATCATGATAGAGCCCAAATGCTGAGTTCTAGAGCTGGAATCCCCCTAACCAATGATCTTGGGCGATATTTAGGGCTCAAAGCTATCAGTGGCAAGATTACTAAAGAGAAATACAATGAGCTGATTATCGAGATCCAAAATAAGTTGGCTACTAGGAAAACTAAGCATCTTTCGATGGCAGTCCAAGTCACTCTGGTGAAATCGTAGCTTCCTCCATGGTTGTTTTTCCTATGTTTATTGAGCTTCTTCCTGCAGGTGTCTGTAAGAATCTTGACAGGTGCAATAAGAAATTCGTTTGGGGAGAGGACGATGATAAAACTAAATACCATTCGGCCGAGGTCTTGGAATCCGACCTACTCGTCTTGCCAATCTAGCAATATTGGCAAAGGGGGCGTGGATGTTGGCTTCTAACGATCAGTGCCTTTGGGAAAATGTCTTAAGAAGCAAGTACGGGAGACAGAAGGCCGGGATTGAAATGCTTAATAAGGCTAAGGGAAGTTCCCTCGCTTGGCGAAGTTTTTCGCAAACAACTCATATCTTGCGCAAAGGCTCTGCCATCAACATTAAGAACAAAAAATCGACTAATTTTTTGTTTGATCCTTGTTTTTTGCAGACACCGCTTGCTGATGTAGCATTGGAGGTGATTCCGGGAGACCTTAAAGACAAAAAGGTGGCTGATTACTGGTTGCCGAGCACTGGGTGGAAGATTGGGGAATTGGACAAACACCTTCCCCAGGCCATCCTCGACAGAATTAGGGTTGTGATGATCGATCCTCTCTCCACAAATAAAGACCAGCTATTGGAAAGAGTCAGCTAATGGACGTTTCAACACCTCTTCGGCATTCAGTTTAATTGCTCCTCAACATAGACATATGCACTCAGTTGTGGTAAAGCATTTGGCAGCTACTTGTTCCAGAAAGAATCAGACTGTTCATCTGGACCACCATGAAGAACAGGTTGGCCACCCATGCTATTAGAAAATTCAGACACCTGATTGATGATGATGTATGCCCTCTGTGTCGGCATGAGACCGAGACAAATATTCATTACCTACGCGACTGTTTGGCAGCCATGAAAATATGGGAAAAACTAATCCCTCAGCAACATCAAGCTTTTTTTGCAGCAGATCATGACCTGTGGCTCAAGAAAAATCTGAAAAAGAAAGATTGCGAGGGAGAGATAGAGGACTGGGGCAGCTCGCCATTATTGCTTGGTATATTTAGAAGAATCGCAATGAGTACATCTTCAAAGGTACTTGAATATCACACTCCACTTTGATCAATGGTCACAGGCTTGGAAGCAGCGAAAGGTAATTCAGACAGAGTTCTGTGGCATGCTCGGGAGGAGCGGTTGATTGGTTGGAAGGCTCCACCGGCAGGATGGACTAAGCTAAATACAGGTGGAGCAACGCAAGTCTCACATGGTTTGGCGACGGCAGGAGGGGTTCTTCGGGACGCTAGTGGAGATTGGCTAGGAGGCTTTTGCTGCAAGATAGAAACAGGAAATGCCATTCTAGAGGAACTATGGGGGATACATCAGGGACTGGAGTATGGGTGGAACAAAGGGTTTCGATTTCTGATCCTTGAAACTGACTCAAAATTAGCAATTGATCTCATTTCCAGTCGCGAGGATCAGGTTCACCCTTATGCTACTTTACTAAGGGCCATTCGCAGATTAATAGCACAAGACTGGATAGTTCGGCTAGTTCATATGTATCAGGAAGGGAATAGAGTCGCGGACTGGCTCTCGAAGCACAGTCTCGTCTATCCCTTTGGTACGCATGAATTAGTCAAACTTCCAAGGGAGATTGAGAGATTACTCAGAGAGGACATGATTGGAGTGAGCTTCCCTCGCAGGGTTGTGTTGAACTCAGATTGATAGGTTCTGCTTTTGTTTTTAGCTTGGATCTTCTTTGTTTGAGGCTTTTCGTTCTTAACAGGGTGAGCTTGTTCCCCTTGCCAACGACAGCTTTGTGTCCTGATTTTGTCTACTTGGCGTAAAAGCCTCCCCTTTATAAAAAAAAATCAGTACTTAGTAATTGCCATTAAATTTATCTGTATCAAATTTAAGCACAACTTCATAATCATTTGTGAGTATTTAATGCCTTTCATCTTCAATTGTATCTGTCTTTTGCAATAAAATGATTGAGATTGGAGATTGATGTGCTCTCATATGCTCATTTGAGTATTCAATTTTAGTTAATTTCTAAGTAACAAAAATAATAATATAATCCATGTTCCAAATATTTATTTATCTATGAGTAAATGAATTCATGGATTTTGCAATCCCACATTGACCTTATAATGATAGGAGGCCGTAAAGCCCACAAGCATTAAGGCCTAGAGGTAATCAAGGCCACAAGCTTTAAAGCCCACATACTCTCTCTCCCTATCGACTCTGACTGGACTATGATCCAGAATAAGCTTAATTCCACGATCCGCATCTCAGGCACCGGCGGCCATTGGCGTGGCTGCGTCTTCACCGGTAGAGGAAGCCTCTACGCCTCCAGTTCTCAATCTAAAATTCCATCTCAGAAAACATTCCATCTCCGAGTTCCTGTGGAGCTAATCCGATCTATGATGGAGCGATGGAGAGGTGTTCTCAAGGTTCCATTGAAGAATCCAGGAGGAATTCCGGCTCTCTACAGAGTCGCCGTCTCTCTCTACCTTTCAACTCCTTCCCAAACGCTAGCAGTAAGTTCAAAATTCCCCTCCGTTTTCTTCTCCCGCCTCCCCCTTCCCCGAGAACTCAGAGCTCCATGACCTAAAAATGGACAGGTGCCTTCAGCGAACGCCATACTTTTCCTGGGAGACCGCGTATCCGGAACTCGGAGCACCGCAATCCAGAGGCTCTCCGATCCGCAGAAACTAGCCGATATCTTGGTCTCGAAGTTTGGGGATTCAATCAACGCCTGGGTCATCGAGGCTGCTCTCTACAACGGCCCGTTCGCCGTCTACAAAGACTGCATCCCCACTGTCAATCAATGGGGAGAGCCCAAATCTTACGACCCTTCAGGGTTCCCAGCTTCCAATTCCACCGCCTCTCTGTTATCCAACTGCTTGCACGAGATCAAGCTCCGGCTACCAGCTTCATCATCATCCAATGGTGGCGTTCCCGATCCGTTGCCGACGTACATCCTGGGGTTCAGCAAGGGAGGCACCGTGGTTAACCAGCTAGTAACCGAGCTGAGCTGCCTCGAACCGAGATCTCTCGGTGGGCGAGAACAACAGCGGGTTCGGATCATACCCGAAAGTGGAGAGGTCCTGCTGAGCAGCATCACCGAGGTCCATTACGTGGATGTTGGGTTGAACTCTGCAGGTGCCTACGTCACCGATCATGGCGTGATTGAGAGGATAGGCAAGCGTTTGAATGCTGAAGGAGAAGGTGGAGCTGGAATCCGGTTCGTGCTCCATGGAGCTCCGAGGCAATGGTGCGACGACAGGCGGGTGTGGATACGGGAAGAGAAGGATGAGCTGATCCGTCTGCTGGAAATTGAGGCTGGGAGGAGAAGTGCTGCTGCAGGGAAGTTACAGGTTCGCCAGAAGCTTTACTCCGCTGATAGGGCCCCTGATATGGAAATGCACTTTGAAGTTCTTGAAGCCATGGATGTGACTTGTGAGTCGTGAGTAGATTAGAGTTATGTGAGCCTTATTTTTGCAGCCACGGTTGAAATAGTGTATCCAAGTAGTTTGTAGTTCGTGGAGGCAAGAGCAGAAATGAACATGGTGAACTTGACTATGGTAGATCGTTTGTAAAACAGTTGGTAAATCGTTTATGTAAGTGTTCATTCCCGTAAAGTAATTGCAAATGCATTGGATGACTAATGGCTTCCCACCAGAAACGCACTATAGAGGCTAATCCAAGAACTTTAAGTACCGAAAATTTTGTAGGTTATTCATCCATCCGAACTTTAAGTACTGAAATATGAATGTAGTGAATTCATTCATCCATCCTTCAAGCTCAAACTGTGCTATAGTAAACCAAGTAAAACAAAAGTTTGTGGGCATTACCTATGAAATAATATACATTCAATGGCAAAGAAATATATCTCAAAACCAGTTATTAGGTATCCAAGCCCAGTTAAACACAAGTCGTCTGTCTATCGAGGAGGGAAGAAGCTCGGGTACCATAATCCAGATAGAGAATGTTGATTTGGATGGATTACACCCGAACCAGCAAGGAATCTGCTCTCATCTTGTGTCGAGAAACAACTCCACCGACACTGACATTCAGTTCCACTACTCCTTGAAAATTTGTGAATAAGTTAACCTCTGGTTTTCAAAGTTCAAACAATTACTTAATGCACTCAACCTGGATAGTCAGATCCTTGACCCCAAAATCCTTGAACCTTTGCAAAACCCGTCTCTTCAAGGAAGTCCTATCGGTGTCCTCTGAAACATGGAGGTGAAGCGTCCCAACAACGTCTGTGTTAGTAAAACTCCAAATGTGGAAGGTCTGAATGCCACGTACCCCCTTAATCCTTCTGACGTCGTCCAGAGCTCCCTTCAAACGCTTCTCTTGCGCTCTTGGAACTCTCTGGAGCAAGATCTCTGCAGAGTTTCTCAGCAATGGAATTACCGACGATATGATCAAAGCTGAAATGAAAATTGAGCTTGCTGGATCAGCAACAAGCCACCCTTTGTACTTGATAAGGAGCGTCGATATGACCACACCAACGCTTCCCATTGTATCTGCCAGCACATGCAGAAAAATACCCTCCATATTGTGGTCAACATGGTGATGATCGTGGTTCTTTTCTGGCTCCTGCACAGAAGACTCGGGATGGTGATTATGGTCATCGGATTCATGGTGGTGATGAGTGTGATCATGAGTGTGATCATGGCAATGGGAGCTGTCATGGTTGTCATGATTATCTTGATGGTGAACATGATCGTGGATGCAGCTGCTACCACTGTGTTCATGGGTCAATGATGTCTCAGGAGAGCTATGTGAAATGGATATGGACTCCTGATGGTTTTCATGAACCCCATTATCATGTGAATGGTGATGATGATCGGAGTGAGAATGTGAGTGTGAATGCTTATGAGAATGAGAATGTGAGCAACCTCCAGACCCACCACCATGAGCGTGATGGTGCTCCTCATGAAAGAAGATTAAACCAACAACATTAACCACAAGGCCTCCAACAGAAACAACTAACAAGCTGTTGGTTGATATCTCCTGAGGGTCCAATATCCTCTCGAAAGACTCTAAAACTATTAATGCTCCAACAAGAACCAGGAAAACCGCATTCACATATCCAGATAGAACCTCAAATCTTCCACGGCCGTAGTTATACTGCTCATTTGCGGGTAGTCTTGCAATATAAGAGGCATAAAGACCGATAGCCAAAGCAGCACAATCGAACAACATGTGACAAGCATCTGATATCAGTCCAAGACTATTGCTCATGAACCCAGCAACAAATTCAACAACCATATAGGCAGCATTGATCAAAAGGAACAGTGCAATCTTCCTAGACTTCCTCTCACTCAAAATATGGCGTAGCGGATTGGTAACCAAATTACGATATGACTCGGAAGATTGCATCCCCAACTCGAGATAATCCGAATTAACATGATCCAGCCTTCTAACCCCGATATACAGCAGCAACCCACATATCAGTAGCCCCCAAAGTGAAAGCTCGGGAAAGTAGAACAGCTCCAAGACAATTGTGCAAACAAATGTTACTGAAAAATCCTTCTGGAAATCTTTAGAAGTTACCAGCTTCTCATCAGCGTAACTCTCACTCAGTAGTACTCCAAAAACAACCGTGTTAGCCAACGGCCATCCTAAGCTCCCAAATGAAACATCATGATCACCAGCTTCAAGCACGGCAAAGCTCACAAGGGCAGGAATGAATAGCAGAAGGGTGGTATAAAACAATGACACCAATCTAACTCGAGCTTGTCCCAGCTGCCTGATTGCTATCCAATTCATCGAAACACGCTCGTAAGACCCCAAAAACCCAGACATAAATGGAAGCAGCATCAGCCAAATTCTAATGCAATTCTCTCTAGGAATCAACGACCACCCAAATTTACCCACATAGGAAGCCGAAAAAGGGAAGCATTCACTACGATCCCAACTCATAGCCAACAAGAACAAGCCAACAAAGAGAGCCAAAAACCCAGCAAGCTTTTTACCATTCCCATCCAGAGTTGCCGCACCAATTTTATGCCTTTTCCCCAGAGAAAGAACACGGGCCACAATGTTGCCGCACAATTCAGCGAGAATCATGGCCGCAGTCCCACAGTACCTGAGAGCCTGGAACCTGAGAAGAAAGACAACGGCGAGGACAATCGATTTGGCGAAGAGGAGCTTATGCTGGGATGGGGAGAGGGTGGAGAGGGAGAATACAGGGGTTTGATTGGATTTGAAGCTGCTGTTGGGGTTTCTGAGGCGAGCGAGAGGTGTTTTGGCAGAGAAGAGAGAGAACGAGAGGGAAAGGAGGAAAGATAGGAGGGAGACGAGGAAGGAGAAAGGGAAGAGGGAGAAGGAAGGAGATGAGCGGAGGAATGGGAGGAGAGAGTAGAGGGAGCGGAGGGAGAAGAGGAAAAGGAATAGAAATGAAATTGACGATTTGGAGGAGGAAGAAGAAGAAGATTTGAAGGAGAAGGAAGCGGAAGAGAGGCGTTGCTTCGACGGGGTCGGAGTTGGGGTGGATGCGTAGGCGTATGGAGAAGATGAAGGGTAGGCTCGAGATGTGACGCCGACGGCGGCCGGAGGAGTGAAAGAAACGGTGGGTCTGGCCGGAACTGAGAGGCGATTCGGGCGATTCTGTTGATGGTGGCGGTGATCGTGATCGGAATCATGATCTCCTGGCATGGTTGCTGGCGGATCGGAGGCGGGAATGGCAGAGGGCTCCGGTCGAGGAAGGAAGGGAGTAGAGTTGACGAGGACACTGCGTCACTGCGTCCTTCATTTCCCTCACTAGCTTGAAGGTAAGAACATAGAATTTAACGAGGCCTAAAAGGCCCAAGTGTTAAGCCCTAAAGTCGCTGAGGCCCACATAACAGATCCGCTCCAGTTAAAAGGTTTAGATCCAAATCCAAGATTTGAAATTTCTAAAACCCGCCACTCATTCACACCGCTACCTCCACTCCACCCTCCGCTTGACCAAACTCTCTCTTCCTCTCCTCCTTTCCTTTCCTTTCAATCTCTCGGGCTATTTGCTTGTACTTTCATGGAAACATCTGCTGCTGATCCGTCCATTTACCGAGAACCAGATCCAACCTGCGGCGGAGGCGGCGGAAACGGAAATGGCAACGGCGGAAGAACTTTTTACTGCCGGAAGGAGAAATCTCTCGGAGTCTTATGCACCAAGTTTGAACCCTCTCTCCCCCTATCTAATCTATTCCCTCAATTGGATTGTCATTTCCAGTCCTCTTTCTTAATTTTCTGCTGTTCTTTTGTCGTCTGTAGCTTCTTGAACTTGTATAGTACTCAAGGGCTCGACTCAATTGGACTAGACGATGCCTCTTCGAAATTAGGTATTCATTCTGGACGTATTTCTTACTCTCCCCGTTTGTTTGGTTCCTGGGGTACAAGATTTGGTTTTCAACATAGAACAACAGGAAGGAGGGTTTTCATTTTCCGACGAGAGGATTTTTCCGGAGGCTAAGGGAAATGTGTTCTGTATATTGTTAAGCATATTGACGAGTTTCCGTTTGCAGGAGTTGAGCGCCGGCGAATTTACGATGTTGTTAACATATTGGAGAGTGTTGGCGTAAGATTCTTAAGCTGATTTTTTGTCCCAATTCCTGGTATCTCATTGAACTTGATTGTGAGCAATTTTGCAATGCCTTTTTTCTTTAGGTGGTGGCTAGAAAACAGAAGAATCAGTACTCATGGAGAGGTTTTGCGGCAATTCCACATGCTTTGGAGTGCCTCAAGGCTGGTTCACAATTTTTTAGCTTTGTCCATGGCTTTCAATGTTTCTCTTCCATTTCCTTTGTCCTATTTGTTTTGAGCTGCAATATGATTCCTTAATATCTCATTGTTTCAGCAAGAGGCATTGATGGAGAATTTCAGTGCTGCATCTTGTCTGAACTCAGCAAAGGTGTGTCCGTTCTTGATTCTCGACCTATGTTGATTGGTAGTTGTGTGGATTGTCTTAAGCAGATTATAGAGCACACACATACCACTTAGTCATGTTGTAATTATGAAGCAAAAGTTTAGCAGCTTCTTTAGCTCCAAGTCTTGTTTGAACATGTGTAGTAATTGTGGTCACTGTTACTTCATTGGCCTAGATTCATGGTTGAGAAGTGAAAGTAACAAAGCGTAGGCTCATACTTGACGATTGCAGCATTGGCACCGAGTTTGTTCAGAATAGCAGCCACGTTAGTCCAAGTTTTGACCCTTTCTTACATTCTTCGTTATAGGCTCTAAAAGAGAATGAAGTTGGACCATCTTCCAATGTACCAACTGATGGTCAAGAAAACAATTCAGCAGCATCAGTTTCTGCTGGTAATGGTTAGTGACCCTTCGTTTGAGTTTGTCAACAACTCACCTCAATCGACATGGGTGATCTATAAAGTTCTAAAATTTAGCTTAAACCTGAGGCTTGTATGAACAGCCAAATGCTGTCTAGTCTAAAGTGCACAGCAAATTTTACATGTGTTTTTTGATGCAGATAACAAAAGAGAAAAATCATTATGGCTTCTCACACAGAATTTCGTGAAGCTTTTCCTTTGTTCTGATGTAAGTGAAGTTCTTCCCAAATTGGCTTGAAATATGACTTCCTCTTTCACTTGTTGGAGCCTTCACTCATTCATTCTCTTTTAGGAAGATTTAATCACACTTGATACTGCTGCAACAACTTTGCTGGGTGATGCCCTAAGTTCTACAGCTATGAGAAGTAAAGATCGAATCCTCACCTTCCATTACAATGAAGCCAACTAGTACTGAACCATGTTACTCACTCTTTCTTCTTTTTAACGGTCATTATACAGCAAAAGTAAGACGACTCTATGACATTGCCAATGTTTTGGCTTCCATGAACCTTATAGAAAAGGTATATTTTAACCTACATAACATGGTTCATGGGTAACACAGAACAGTAATTCAGCTTAGGCATGTAAACGAACGATAATGTTGTCTTCATTTTGCAGACTCATCACCCTGAAAGCAGGCGACCTGCCTTTAGGTGGGTGGGATGGAGGGGAAACAATGTAGCTCTCGACCCTGTGAAATTCCAGGCCACCAAGAGAACTTTTGGCACTGAGATTACTAACTTCTCATCAAAGAAAAACCGGCTGGGCTGTATCGACCAGAACCATGTTATTGCTCCAGTCCTTAAAATATCGCAGGATTCGCAAAACAAAATTCATGGAAGCAACCTGAAGCCAAAGACAGAGGAAGGCAAATCTAAGAGCTTTGTCTTTGGTCCATTCAGTCCAGCAGTTACTGACAAAGGTGTAAGCTGCACAGGAAACACAAGTATGACAAAGATCCAGGACGTGGAGACCCTAGCTTCTACTTGTTATCCTCAGTACTGCAATGAAGGTAGAGCCTACTGGTTAAACACTTATTTCTCTATGCTGCAGTTGAACTTCTACAGTAACTAATGTGGAGCATTTCAATTGGGTGGCAGCTTTAGGCGAGCTATTTGGTCATTACGTAGAGGCGTGGAAATCATGGTATGCTGGAGCTTCAAGAAGCAGAAAAGACCCAAGGAGACTCATGACAGAAGCCTTCCCGTAGATTCACAACTGAACTCAATAGAGATTCACCATGTCAAGTTTCCTGGTCAGCAGTAGAACGTATTTTTGAATATATTGCTCTTTCTTTGGATTGCATTAACTTGGTGCTCTGCACCAACAGAAATAGCACTCACTTCAACCCACAGTTTCTAACAGAAATAGTTCTGATGATGCAGTTCTTTTCATGTTTTAACGTTCAACTTGTTAGAATGAAGGGCAAGTAAAAGTCAACTGATTTGTTCATTCCAATAGTTTTTTAAGTTAATTCGTAGGAGGCCCTTGTATGAATCTTTAATTCTTCTTGAATGTTGAGAGATTCATCTATCTTTTGTTATTATGCATAAACAACAAGAGTCTCGCCGTTTGAGCACATTGATGCATGCTGTTACTCGCATGAAGTAATAATGGATTGGTTGATTCTAAACAGCACATTCCTCAGCACTGTTTCTTCTTTCTGTTGTTGCGTTCTTATAAGCTCACTTCGCCCTCGTTCAACTATAAACAGTCTGCATAAAGAACATGATTACTGGTCAATTGGGCCCAGGCATCATATGCTTATCCATGCAACATATCCACCCAAATATTATAAAGAGAGACGAAAATTAACAGGATAATAACTAACAGGCAATTAGATTTTGTGTTGTGGTTCAGTAGCCAATAGGGATTGATTGGCCAAGAATTAGTGACACGTATCGAAATCAATATCAGGGTGTCTCTGTGGTGATGGTCCATTTGGAGCTGAACCAAAAGATGCCAGGATTGCTGTTAGGCAGGCCCACTCTCTAGATTGGTTGAAGCCAAGATTTGGGCCAGCGGTGATAGGTCCATTTCTCTTTACGAGCAATCAGGCTAGGGTTCTAGCGATTCATTAGAGTTAGGACGTCATATCATGATTCACAATCCTTTGCACAGTCTCTGTTTCCTGTTTCTTATAGTTGGTGATGCACACTGTCGCATTTTTGTAAATAATTGTCATTGTGTGCATCCAACAATTGTAAATTACAGAATGCGCTATATAATAGTCAAGAACTTTTCACCCTAACGATATTAGGATGACTACCTAACTTATTTGTGAGGATATAGATGAAAGATACCGAGTCAAATATTTGACACTCTCTTTAAATTTAAATTAGTATTTGACCTTATAGGCTTCTATATATGGACGGGCAGACCTTGCAATTGTTTTAGGTAAAACTAATGGTTTTGCTGCTAAATCTCTCAGCACCACTTTTCAGGTTCATTCATGTGGATGTCATTATGAAATTATTAAAGACGGGGAAGAATGACCTCTAATCTTATTGTGATGCAATGCATTTGGCCTCCAATGGAGATAATTGAATAATTGAAATAAAGTTTTAGCCATGACAAATTGACAATATGGGAGACTACTATAATTTTATTTATTTTAAAAAAGTACCTACTTTTGTTTTCTTACATGCCATAACCAAGAAACCTACCCAACTAGCTCTTTGCTTACTAATTGATAAACAATTGTTGACTAATATCCACACGTTTTGTTCACTTACGAACATAATGTGTTACATTCTATTATTCTAATGGAATGCTACACTATTCCACCTAATTTGTTATATTCAAATGAAATGCTACACTATTCCACCTACAAAATCACCAAACATTTTGCTTCAAATTAAACTTGCATAACTAAACCAAGTTACTAGATGCATAAGATAGCAATTGAGTTTGTAACCCATTTGTTTTGACGATGAAATCAACGTTAGCAGTATAAGAGATGAAGTACATACTTTTTTTTATTCTTTTTTATTAGCCAAACCTATTAAAATACTAAGAATTAGACAAATGTTAATTTCCGGTTAGCAATTTTGTTAGTAATATTGAGTTGGCAACATGATACTGACTTGGAAGAGACACATGAAAGTCATCATTCCAAAATGTATTTTAATTAAGAAAAAAGTTACAAGATTATTAACAATAACATAAAAATGACTAATATTTTGATTCATTACAAAAAATTTGGCTAATTAATAGCATTTTAATAGGTTTGAATAATATAAAAAATCTGGAAAAAAAAATTGGATAAAAAATACACATTACCCAAAATAAAAATGTGGAGTTCCAATATTCATTTAATTTGATATTTAAAAACATTTCATCTAAATGGTTGAATGTCCAAAACTCACTCCTGTCCCCATGGCATATAAAATCTACTACCTAAAATTCCATAAGTCCCATATGTTCTTATGTACTATTATCATAGCATTTGTCACAAACGAGCAACTCATCTCTAGCCGTAGCCAATTACATGAAACAATAAATCATTTATCATGAAGTAAACTTTATTCTCGTGTAAAGTAAGGTCGTTTGGAAGTTACGATTGTTAAATAGATGTATTGTTGAGAATGCATGTATAATATTATACATGTATTGCCGAATTTGATGCATTGTAGAATACAACGCTTGGTATGTATGATTGTGTATGTCGACAATCACAACTCAACTATCTCAACAATCACAACTAAAAGTTGAGATATAACAATCACTCAAAATGAGTGATAGTTTCTGTCACATCATAGAAACAATCCATGTATTGTTTTTGCTAAACAAAAAAAAAAACTATGCATTGTAAACAATACATGCATGATGACAATCTCAACAAAACAATCGCAACTTCTAAACCAATCCTTAAATATATTTCTTGATCTCTGTAATGCTAAATTCGACAACCAAACCACCCATGTTAGACCGAGTGGACCAGGTGGAGAGTGGAGCCCGAGTTTGATGGCGATGCCTACTCGGACCAACTCCGTTGAATAATGAAATCACAATTACACATTGGCGATTCCGTAGTAGAGACACAGAAGATTCTTTCCCAAATCAGAGATCAGAAGAAGCCGACGGAGAAGAGATAAGCCGCCCAGGCTCTCTCCTCTGAGCCAGCCGCTGACCTATCTCTCAGTCTCTCTCCCGGGCTGCGACAAGCTTTCTCGGCGGTGGAGGCACCCCAGTCCTCCTCTCATGGCCGCCACCGCAGCTCGAGCTTTCCTTCTTTCTCGCGACCTGTCGCCCAAACACCACCCACCACCGTCCCTTCCTTCCTCGACGTCCCTCGCCGCCGCGGCTCCATTCTTCCTCCGTCGCCACAACAACAACAATTTCAATTCGAATTCCCATCATCATCACGCGGCCTGGGCTGCTGCTGTAACGACGACGACGACGACGGTGAGCTGCCTGAGCAGCGGCGGCGGGATCTCCGACGAATTCGTCTCCACTCGGAAGTCCAGCCTGGACCGGGGATTCTCCGTAATCGCCAACATGCTCAAGAGGATCGAGCCCCTCGATAACTCCATCATCTCCAAGGGAGTTTCGGATTCGTCCAAGGACTCGATGAAGCAGACCATCTCCACCATGCTGGGAATCCTCCCTTCCGCTGATTTCTCCGTCACGATTCGATTCGCCAAGCTGCCTCTCGACAGCCTCCTGATATCCGCCATCATTACAGGGTAAGCTTTTTATTAAATCAATCTCTCAGATTTCATTTCCTGCTGTGTTGTTCGGTGTTCTGATCGCGGGGCGGATTTGACTGTAGGTACACGCTGTGGAACGCGGAGTACAGGATGTCTCTGACGAGGAATTTGGAGATTTCAATGGAGAATTGGAGGAGATCGGATTCCGGCGAACCGCAATTGGAGACGAAGGAGGAAAGCGATGTTAACAAGGGACGAGTTGGTGAAGTTGGAGCTCAGGATGTGGAAATCAGTCCTCAGGTTTTGGGGGATTTGCCGCAGGAGGCATTGAATTACATTCAACGCTTGGAATCTGAGTTATCTGACGTGAAAGAGGTGATCTTTCTGTTCTCTAAAGCGATTCATTTTCCTGAATTAATGGTTTTGGATTTCTGCGGCACTGTAAAGTCTAAGTGTAGAATTTCCATGGTGTTGAACTTGTTAGTGGGAGTATTATGCATGGCTAATGGTTAAATGGATAAAGGGGGCAACTTTTAAAGGAAAGGCTTTGCCTTGTAGATTTATGGATGTTATGTGCTGTTTGTGATGAGCGCTTCTAGTCATGAGTTTGATGCAATAACAACCAAGAGCAATTTGATATCTGTGCAATGGTAGTTCGTGCATTCATCTACATCCTTTTGTATGCAAACATCATATTATTCAAGAAAGACTATAGGGCTGACTCCAATGTGAAGTCACTAGGCAGCAGTGTGGTTTCAATTGTGATATCTGGAGAGCCCTGCTAGTCAGTTGGAGAAATTTTGCTTCTTTATTATCTAAAAGTTCTGTTACATTCAAAATGGTGGATATAGCTTTGTGGATTTATGATGGGAAGTCTCCTGCCCATTACACCTAAAGTATGCGCTCTTGGATGGGTGATGATTCTTGGTAGCAATGTATCCATTAATAGGATTAGTTCTATGAAGCCCCGGGGGTATGAAGTGAAATTATTGTTTCTTGTCTGTACTCCCTTGAATACTCTGTTCTTCTATTTCTTGAAGTCTTTCCTATCGATAAAAATCCATGACATTCCGAGCCATAATTCAAGATCCCTTAGGGATACATGTTATCCGATCAAAAGAAGCCAACTTTTCTGGTGTGGTAGTTAGTTAGGCAAGCCTGCCATCCTTGGATACTGCTTAGTGCAAGAATTATCTTCTTCTTCCTTTCCCGTTATAGACAAGAACTCAGATTAAAAAACTTGCAATAACCTGAATACTAGTTGACAACATTGGTTTAACTGTCTGCTCTTTGCTTTGGAGAATGAGTCCCCTTCTGACATGATCTGGTGTTGTGTTCAGGAACTGAAGTCATGGGAGCAGGAAATTACAGAAATGGAAAATGGCAGAGGAAACAAGAATTGTTTATTAGAGTACCTACGGTCTCTGGATCCTGACATGGTGACGCCTTGTTCATTCAACTTTGCAGCACGAATCCATTTTAGCACGTGCTGTAAAATTGTCAAACTCATGCTGATTCTTGCTCCGGAACTTTTGTATCTAGGTAAAGGAGTTATCTCGACCATCTTCAATAGAGGTGGAGGACATCATTCACCAGCTTGTTCAGAGCACAGTGCAGAGGTTCTTCAAAGACGAGCCGACCTTGAGTTTCATGGGTGATTCGGTCGTGTCAAATGCTGCAGAAGGAAGTTATCAGATTGGTGCTGATGAATTCTGCTCAACTATCGGCACTTCTCGTGATTACCTGGCGAAACTGCTTTTCTGGTTGGCATCTTTTCGCCTCAATGGCTAGTGCTCCAGACAGATTATATTTCCTTAATTGATTGGATCACACAGTTGAGGTGCTAATGGCTTGTGTGTTTGGGGGTGAGTGTGCAGGTGTATGCTATTGGGGCATCATTTGAGAGGATTAGAGAACAGATTGCAACTAAGTTGTGTCGTAGGATTGTTGTAAATGAAGAAGCAGAAGCAGTAGCAACAGAAAGAAGAATTGGTAGACAAAAAAGGCGCAAGAGGAGAACAAGGGACAGGTGCCAGGCTATTTGTACATTCCTTTAATTTTGTCTTGCTTCTAAATTTTTGCATACTTGATGTTGTCTTGGTGTAGTTAAAAGATGTTAATTTTAAATGGAAGGTTAACTCATCAAAACTTGTAAGATTCACCTTTCTCCTCTTTCCCCTCCCCCCTCCTGGAAAAAGAAACGTAGCAAATATATAGAAGGCATCCAGGTTTCCAGACTTCATCGTTCTATTTGGCAAAATTGTTAGATATTATCAGTAGCATTTTTATCAACAAGCCCGTCTAGCTCAGTTGGTAGAGCGCAAGGCTCTTAACCTTGTGGTCGTGGGTTCGAGCCCCACGGTGGGCGTTGATATTTTTTCGTCCTGAGCATCAGCAATGAGTTGAGATGCAACATTTTACATATAAAGTAATAATTTTGATGATTGCAACTCAACTACATGATTAATTCCAATTTAACTTTCACAATTCATCAATCATCCTTGGTTGTAGCTCAAAATAATTGCTCCTGCCTGATCTGGTTCACACAAGTTTCATTTCTCGGCCGAAAGTATGAATTGGATTGATAATAATGAAAAACGATTCTAGACATACATCCTCTCCAAGAACAATTCAGAAAAATATATATATATAGTTATTTACTATCCAACCTCTACTACAATGCGGGATACACAAACTGAAACCGAAACCTCAGAGCTCTTGTTTGAGTTACGACAACGATCACCTACAGCACAGCTACTGCAGACCTGACCAAGTTAGCATAAAGCCTGTATATAGTATATACTACTTTCCCTACAAAAAGATTACACATTCATACATTGCTGCAATTGGACACTATTTACAGTAGAAGGCAATGGATCAAATTACCCCCTCGTACCCCCACCCTATTACAAAGGCGATTACACCATTTGATCCAGAGCGCAATTGGCGTTCTCTTCACGTGACTGGCTCTGAAATTTTTACAGAATATAGTCACCGTGGAGCTTATACACGGGAACATCGGAGTTCTCTTCTCTGCGCCAGCAAACAAAAATCTTCAGGTGGTTCTTACAAGAGGGTCCAGCAGCCAAGGCCAAAGCAAAGGAGAGGGCAGAGGCCTTTAATTTGCAAGTGGTGTCACGTGGAGGACTGCAACAGTCTGTGAAAAAGCTCCACTCTAGCGCGACTCTGACCCCTTGAGGCTTTCTTTCTACTTGATCGATAGAAGAAATCTTCGGTGTCGAGAACATAAGAGATCTGCCACACAAGAGGGACCTCAAAAATCAGAAAACCACAGATTTACCAACCCGCAAAGCTTCCAGACGCACACAGAGAGAGATCAGAAATTAATGGGGGGGAGAGAAGCTAACCTTGCATGAGCTGCTGGAAACCTTGCACTCCAAACCATTGACAATGCTGACACCATCCATTGCCAAACAGAATGCAGAAAGTGCGTCCATCTTATCAAACTTGTGTTTGTTTCTGCAAATTTTGACTAGTGAAAGTTATCTAAAATCATAAACTGAAGCCAATAATTATTCCATTTCCCCTCAAAACTGCAGAATTCTGCCCTTATTTCTGCGTATCGAGCAGGAAAAAACTTGATTTTCATCTGTTGTATACATGTATTCAACCATCTATAGCTACTTCAGCCCCTGTACTATTGTTTACCCTAAGGATATGATTTGCCTGCCACTGTCAAACTGTGAATTTTGTTAAACAGAAGGCTAATGATACCTATGGAGTATTATCCCCTGAGGATCCTTTTTGCCATGAGAAGAAACAGACAGATAGTCCTTCTGCAGATATGCTGCAAAATTTGGATCCATGGAGACTGGCAATACATCGGTGGGCTTCTCTGGCACATTTTCCATAAGCTGTATTGACATGTGAGATGGAGAAGATGTCTGCATAAAAGGATACTATGCAACCTTTAATTGCCAATAGAAAGCAAATTCCATCAAAAAATAAAACTACGCAAAATTGTTTTCCCAACTTCGCTCATTTAATGAAAACCTATTTTTGAAGTTAAACCTCATTTATTATTCAGCAGAAGTTGAAACAAACAAAGCCTATAAACCAACGAGGGGAAGAGAGGCACTTACAAACTCCATACGATATATGTTATCCTCGTGCAGAAAGTAACGTGCATTATCATAATAAACCGACTCAATGGATTTCCCAGCTTTCCTGGTTCTCTCGTACTCGTACAGTTGAAGAAGCTTACCGTCCATCTCATCAGCAGCAACAGCTTGCAGCTGAAAGAAGAGAGGAGAATAGGTCAAATCTTTGGTTCTGAGCAATGTAACACGAAAAGAGACGTAATGCTGACAGACCTGCTTGACCAATTTGAATATTAACTTGTCCAACGTAAATAATGCATACGACTGGTTTCCAATAATGGCTCTGCACTCATCTTCAAATTTCGCATTATCAGTAGATCCATCGAGCAGATTGTATAACGCAGTCAGAAACCTGTGGACCAAAAGAATGAAAAACTTAGTACATGCCAGGCATTCTCACAGCTAGAGCCGGGACGGACTGCTAACACACCTGGGATATGGGTCCACAAAAGTATCATTCTTACAAGTTCTCCATTTCGTGTCTGTGCTAGTTGACTGAATTTTGGCTGATAAAATTCTTTCGTATAGGATCTGGAAAGATTTAGGTAACACTTAAAGAAGACAATTACTTGAATCAAGAATACAGCTGGAAAAAAAGATATTCCTAATTGATACACCAATAGTAATCATCACCTGATGAAGCCTGAAAAGCACATAGAAATCATCATTTCCATAGAAAATCCGTGATTCATTCCTTTCCTTGTTGTCCAGTAAAGCTGCTGGAACGTACTTAGCAAGAGGCTTAACGGATAAAAGCACACGCTCTTCCAAAGGTAGTAGATCTCCACCAAATTGTGCATTGGTCATCCCCTCAGCTTCTTCACCTTCACTCTCGGCCTTTTCATCAACTTCATCATGCAACCCCGTATCTTCATCTTCCTCTTCCTCGTGCTCGTCTTCTCTGGAACACTCATCATCCCCTACAGATTCACTGCCCGATACATCATCTGCATGCTCAGAACCATTTTCACTGTCCTGATCATCTGCAACGACATCATTCTTTTCTCCACCCAGACAATCCAAATCTTCTTCAGATCCCTTTTTCCTGCTCTCAGCAGTGTTCTTTCCATTTGGTATAGGTAAATAGCCAACAAAATCCTCCTCCTCGAATTCATTATTAGGTGATAACTCTCCCTCTTCCTTCTCGATTTTGGGAGGAGCAGTGGAGGCATCCAGGTTATGATTAACCGTTGTGCCATTAGAAAAACGTCCGTTTGCTGATAATACAACCCCACCCTGAAGCAAGAAATAAATGCATGAATTCTCTCACTACCATATATGGATCTTCCGTTTGACATCATGAATACACCAACAACCAACCGATGAAATACATACCTCTACAGAAACACCAGTATCAACACTTCCTTTATTTTTGTAACCTTCTGTAGCAACCCAACTAGACAGGGGCATCACAGAACTACAACCCCGGTCTGAAAATGACGGCAGTATTCCACAAATGTGAACAGATATCAGTAGAAGAAAGTGCAATAGGAATGAAACACAAGAACATCATTTAAAGAACATGTGTATATGCTTAAAAACAAACCTGATATTCCATCACTGTTGTAATTTACATGAGTTTGTTCTGATCCTGTCTTAGGAGATACTCGGGCAGCAGCATCTCCGGCACTACAGCTTGTCTGTATGTTAAGCACAGCCATTTTCTCACTCAATTCTAGATTCTTCTGCTCTTTCTCAACTCTTTGCGTGTTGGTAATGACATCAGACGTAGAAACATTATCTGGTTTAACAGAATTCAAATCCCTGGGTGTATCATTTCCAATATCTGAAGAGGTGGGACCACATTGAGGTGAAGTGTTCTCATCTACACTATCAACAGCACATTTTCTTGGTGACTTGGAATCTTCCACCACACCGTTAGCGGCAGGTTCTACACCATTTTCAGTCATGCTGCTCATGGTTTTACAATTTGAAAGAAGATGTTTATCTTTCCCATCACCTCCTAGAGGATTATCCTTGGAATTGGATTGAACAATACCAAGCATTAGCTCCACAAACGTGGTCCAAAGCCGCATAACTTTACTAAGTTGTTCTTTGGTTGAGCAAATTTCTTCACATGAATACTGGACAAGTTTATGTATATCTTCATGAATCGTGCCGTCAGAATACTCGTATTCCAAATGTGGTACAAGGGTTTGTCTGTATCCAGCAGCAATGGCAAAAAGAACATCGTCCTCCTTTGGTTGCTTCTCTTTCAAATCCTTAATCTCAGTTAGCAAAGCTGTTATTTGCATTAAAAAACAATAAGAAACATATAATGAGTGCAGACATCGTGAACAGAAATAGCAGGACCCCAACATAGAAGACTTGTTCAGAAGCAACTGTCCATCTTTTATAACCATGGACAATGAGACTAAAACAAATTCCTATCACTGCTGACAAAAAATTTCATGACCAAATAAGGAGGCAGGCAACAAGTATAAATGGCAAAGCTGTCCAAAGACATTCAGATTACATGTTTATATGTTAAGGATATGCAAATTCAAGTTCACTTACATTTTGAGCTCAAGGTCTTTGAATCTTGTTGCTTGAAATAGAAGCTACGGTGATCCAGTGATTTGTAATGATTTTTTGCATATATCTCAGCCCAAACCTTGTTGAAATCTCTACGGCAGAGCATCCACTCTTCTTGCTTCTGCTTTAAGCGAGTTAGTATAACAGGCAATGCAATTGCGGGATTTTTGCGCAAAATGTCCAGCACATCTAGACCATGGTCCCCATATAGACGCTCAATGCACCTAAAATTCAGAGCTGCATAAATTTGTATTAAGGAAACTGTAGAAATAATTTGAGAGCTTGGTCGGCTGAAAGAAAGTGGAATAAGTCTTCTAAAAGTAAAGAGAAGCAACTTCAAGACATTAAAATCAAATCAGCCACCCAACACAAACCAGTAAAGTGCCCGTCGATCCGAATTGGTGACTGAAATTTATGCTGGTTGATGTCATTCACTAGTTCCTCTACACGTTTGGCAGTTGCACTAACAGACTCTAACAGCATATCCAGCTCAAACCTAAAAAATACCAAACAAAACAAACACATATTAATCCCAAAGGCAAAGCCGATATTCAAATGTAAATATCAGCAGAGATAATAGATAACAAAGAGCAATGTACCAGAAAGGAATTACCTATCATCTTCACATCTAAATAAGCTTTCTTCATACTGATTCCGACGCATATGTTTAAAAGAGTAATCTTCACTCCCCGAAGTTACAGATACCCAGTGGTCATTGAGGACTTGAGCACCAAGATCTGGTCTATGGCTTACCGCAGGTATTGGATACTGCAAGAGAAGTAAAAAGCATGTACAATGAAAAACTAAATATAGTATCAAAACCCATGCAAGACTGAAGTCGTCAGTTTTGCACTCCATACATCGTCCGGCAGAAGCCGATAGCTAGGGGTGCAACGTTGACAATGAGAAAGATCAAGCTCTTGAATAGATGTTGACATATACTTCTCCCTGCATCTCTCCTTTTCTGGATCAAGTTGACACTTCGGCTCTTTATCTCTGTCCTCCACCTTCAATGATCTTGCTGAAAGCCCATCAACGACCAGTGATTCTGAGATCAATACACAACATAATCTTAATACCATATTAGAGACCATGGCAGCATATATTTGGCAGAATTACAAAGAGAAATCACTGAGAAACTCTTCCAGAAGTAAAAATCATTCACATACTTTTACTCATAACACCAGCAAGGAACCCATCTGCAAAATCAACAAAGAAACAGTTACCTTCACGCACAGATGAACTAAGAAAACCTATGCACAACCCCTACTTATAATAGTTTCAACACATTACCAATGTTCTCACAGCGCTGTAGGAAATCATTGAATTCCTCCATAAGGTCAGGATATCTTCCAAGTAAGTCTGTCACCTGCAGTGCAGAAAATGAGAGCTCCACATGGAATCTAATCCACAACACTCTCAAAGCTTGAATTATCTATACCATGCTACTTTGGCCGGCTAAAAGATTACTATGCACAAATAGCATAGAACCATACATGTTAACTTGAGGAGTTCAAGGAAAAGAAGTTAAATATCAAAGAATCCCACATATAGAAAAGCTACAGATCTGTACATACTACATAGGCATCCATCTTTCTCATAATTACAGTTCAATGCATTATGTATTTCGACTGAATAAACAAATTTTAATAGCTAATTTTTTCAGGTCCAGGAACAGCAAATCATACATTCACTTTAAAGCTTCAAAGGGACCAAATCATGACACAACCAGACCAAAGCAGATGGGGAACTCCACATATTCAGATGGCTCTACAAAGACTCTACATAAGGATGCAGGGTACAAGCCTTGAGGTCCACGAGCACCTATCAAAGAATACTCTGCATAAAGATGAGTAAACGTACCAGATTTTGTAAGTCTGTCTTCTTAATAATTCCATTATTGAATATATTAAGGCACTTCAAGAACGCCTGATAATCATCGAAGCTGCCCAGCTTCTCCTTGACTTTCTCGCAGAATACAAATCCTTCATGGTACATGCCTGGATTGATGATTAGGAAAAAATAATCAAAGAGAAGCCAAACAAATGGGTCACACTACATTCATGTCAATAAAACTAAATAAGCAACAGCTATGACATTAGTTTTAGGACTACAATAATACTTACAATAACACTACACAAGCATATAGTGTATCAATGCAGTCGCAACAAGGAATGAACTCCCGACTTTAAACCCACAAAGTAAAAGAAATATTAGCAAATGAACCGATGCCAAGATTCAATGCTGCACAGAAATTTATAAAAATCTTCCTGGTCATATACTATTCGGAATTTCAATTCATCCATGATATTCACATCACAGAACAAATGCACCGAAATGTGACACCACTATAACCAAATCAGTTGGCAAACAAGAACGGATTAATGGATCCAAAGATGAAACATGAGTTAAGTATCTCAAATGATATTAACAGATTAAGCAGTTTTGGTAGCACTGACACAACAATAACTCACTTTTTAATTTATCCTTGTCATCATAAGAAGCAAAGTTAGAACTGATTCCATAACCCTCAACTTTCCGGGAGGGTTTCCTCCTGTTGCTGTCATGATCAAGTTCCCTCTCGTCTTGATCACGACCATGGTTGTCTCTACCATCTTTCTCAACTCGCTTTTTTTGTTCTTTGTGTGCTTTCATCATCAGTTTCTCATCATCCATTTCAGGCTGCTGAAGACTAAGATTCCTTTCACCATTTGAATTAACAACTTTGTCTCGCCTAAGTTGCTGATAAAAAAAGTTCATTATACCACTGTTAATTCACCAGTTGGAATCCAATATATTTTCCAATCATTGAGTAACCATCCAGCTATCTCAACAGTAAAAATATAGAAATCCTTTTCCACTCAAGAACAACTATATATGGCTATTGAGTATTAACCTTCTCTATGTGCATCGGACGCAAGGTGACAGTGGAAGAGTTATGCTGTGACACTGCGGTTCCAGAATTGTCTGGTAAGAACCTAGTGAACTCGTCAAGCAAATCCGGATGGTCCTTGAAGAGAGCAGCAACCTGTACTTTGAAAAACATTCACTTTCTCAGGGGGCATGTGGTGAGCATCACATAGCAATGCAAGTATTCTTGTTCAAAGGAACTACCTCTTTGTAGACCTCATTTATGTCTTTGTGCTCCTTCCGGTAGATTTTAAGGGTATCGAGGAAGGATTTATACACATGTTCATCATTCTGGAACCGTTTCTGTAAGATCCAAATCCATCAGTCATAAATGAAATGTGCAGGCTCTAAAATGAGACTCCCTCCCTATGCAAATCAAAGTAGACTTACATATTTTACCCAAAAAAAAGTAGCCTTACATAGCAAACACAAATAAAAGGGGGGAAAAGAAATATCCTACCTTGATTTTATTAACGAAGTTCATAGCTTCATCAAATTCAACTGTCTTCTTTGGTGGATCATCAAGAGTTATTTCATAACCCTTCGGCAAGAAGGTATTGAAACCATATATTAGGTTGTTATGTCCTTTGAACAACTCTTTGACCCGTGCAATAACACCAGCGGTGTCAGTTCTACAAGAATACAGCAAAAAGCATTAATTTTCAGAGGCAAACATTTATCAACTATACACACCCTACCAATAGTAGGGAACTTACTTCTGAGCCTTGAAATCTTTCATGACCTCAAGGAAAGTCTCATACTTGTCCTGTTTGTCCTGAAACATGTCTTTCACTTCCTTAAGATAGGTCAAGGCATCGTTGGTCGTAAGTTTATGAGAAGCTCCACTAGCAGTGGCAGTAGTACCACCTCCACCGCCTCCCTCCATTCTGCCACCACCAGCTCCTCCTGCAGGCCCTACTCCATCACCCACTACAGCTACTCCTGCCCCTCCTCCAACTCCTGGAATTGATGGTTGCGCACACCTTGAAATCGGAAATACGGAAAATTCAGATAAAGCTAAGAAAACACACCAATGATAGCAATAGAAGACCAAAGGCCCGTCACAACTAGCAACATCAACGCGCACGACCTAAATATCCAGGACAAGTCAAGCTTACACTACTCCAAAGCTAATGATGCACTCCTCTCAGAAGCACATAGATCAATACATTGATGTAATGAAGCTAAATGTATTCTAAACCTAACCATATTGTCTTGAGATCAGTAAAATCTCTCCAAGATAGTGCTCACTGAATTCTATATTGAACTCCAGATCATGACCCTGTATAACCCTAAAACAGTCAAATCCGACAAACGAAAGAAATAAAGCTTACAAGATCCCTCAGCTGCAACCAAAGAAAAGATTATCTAAACTCCATCAACAACGACTCACGAACAAACCAGCTAAGTGAAGAAGAAAAAAAAGAGCCGCAAAACGTCGATGGTGAAGATTTTAACATAGAAGAACCAAGAACAAACTAATCATATCACCGATCGAGCGAGGTCCCGCAGCAGAGATCACTAAACCAACTAAACAAAGCCAAATAGGAGAAGCAAAAGAAGCCAGAGAAATGAGCAGGAAGCGGAACATGAAAGAAGAAGGTACTGACGATTCGCGGGAAGAGCCGAAAGGTCGCTTGAATTGCGAGCCGCCGCCGTAGAACTCCTCCCTCACTCTCTTCATCCCTGCGGCGCAATAAACAGAAATCAGAGCAGGAGATGTAACTCATCCGGCACGTGGAAACCAGAGGAAAAGCCATTAGCAAACGAGAAAACGAAAAACTCACTGACTTGAACGCAGATCTCAGGGGAAAAGAGAGAGGAAGGAAGGTAGAACAAGTTAGCTACTTCGTGCTTTCCCTTTCCTGATTGATCACAGCACCACAGCAGCGCACATGGAGAAGGCGAGCGACCACACGAAGGAGAAGAAGGAACAGGCCTGTGTGTGTTTATTCTCTTTCGGCGTTACGGCCTCTAGTTTTGTCTGCCAAGTTAGGAAAAAACTGCGAGCAGTTTCAAAATGTATGCGAAGGGAAGAAGGGGTAAAGGGAAAACAGGAGGAAGTTTTGATTTGAGAAGGCGGACAGAAGGGAGAGAGATTTAAGAGGAGGTGGAGAATATTATGCTGTGGTTGCTTTGGCGAATGAATGGAAATAGGAACAACTTACCTAGCAAAATTTTTAGGGCTAATATCATCCGAACTATCAAGTAAGTGTTATTTGTTTCTTGAATTATTCAATATTTTATTTATGTCCAACGTATGATAGTTATGTATCATTTATGTCCCAAAGTATGATAATTGTGTGTTATTTATGTTCAGACGATTTCGTTAACCATTATAGATAACGATTGACCAAACGGTGGTCAACTTGATGCTGACTTAGAAGCGGATTCGACGGAGTGATGAAGGCAATTTGGGGATTTTTCTAACTTTTTATTTTTAATCATCTTAGATGAAAATATAAATAAAATTGATATTTAAAATTCCATATTAGATGTCACGTCGATACTGACTGGATTTTCTGTTCAATACTGACGGTCAAACTCGTCAACACTAATGGAAAAATAGTTCACTGCATAAATGTCATATTAAATAGTTCGAGACACAAGTGACACTTTTTTATAGTTCGTATTTCCTAATGGTATTAGCTCAAATTTTTAACCAAATGGGTTTGCAATTTACAAGTCAATTAGTTCATTTTAAGCACCTTAATCTATGCTTCTTCTTTTTTTTTTTTTTTTTTTGCCATAAGGACCCTAATCTATCCTTAGTTGTCTGATTTCGTTTCACCTAGTTTTAAATTTTTATATAAGCTGGTTATTCCTTGAGTCGAGCAATTCAAACTAGGATTCGTTTTAATTGGAATTCAATTGGAATGCTTCCACAAATATACTAGTTCAATTAATAAATTGGTTAGTTATTGAAAATATTATAAGAAATGTCCTTCCATTTCTTTGAAATTCCACATTGTTCTGTTAGATTTTGAATTTCTATTTATATTTGATTCTTCAAGTAAGCATTACCACTCCAAATTTTGACATGCAATATGTTATAACCCCTTCAGATACAACTCAAATAGGTAGATACATATATGATACGCTCAATCCTCATATTGGAAATTTGGGATGCAAAAAATATTTTTATTTGCCTCATTAGTCATTAAATCATGTCCAATTCCAAAATTTCTCACACCATTAAAAGTGTTAGTACAGTGAATCGCAGTACTATAATACAATTTGACAAATATCAGTTAATTCCTATATGTATCAAATAAATTCTTTGATACAACTACTCACCACTATCATAATTTGATCAGAAAACCATTTCATAATTATAATGGTTAAGAAAAAGGTTCTCTTCTTTCCGAACAAGAAATTCGAAACCATAAAAGAGGTTTTAATAGTATCAACAAAGATGTGAAAGAAAAAATAAATAAACACAACAGCAAAGTAACAAGCAAGTCATTGTATATTTGTAATAAACTACAATGGCCGAGATCCTTTGAAGATTAACCAAGGAGAAAAGTAACAAGCAAGCCATTGTATATTTGTATTAAGCTACATTACCCGAGACCCGTTGAAGATTAACCAAGGAGTAATAAGTTCCGGCGGGCCCTTTTGCCAACAGAGACGAGTGGGTCCCGCTCTCTATGACCAGCCCTTTCTCCAAAACCACGATGGAATCACAGTTTTGTATTGTACTCAACCTATGGGCCACCACCACGATCGTCCTTTCGACCATCACCCTCTTCACCGCCGCCTGCACTGCCTTCTCCGACCACCCGTCCAGGGCGCTCGTTGCCTCATCTAACAGAAGAATCTTTGGGTTCCTCAGCACCGCGCGGGCCACCGCGATCCGCTGCTTCTGCCCTCCCGACAATTGGACGCCTTTGTCCCCGCACCACGTGTCGTAACCATCATTTAGGCCCGAGATGAAATCATGCACCTTGGCAGCCTTCGCCGCCGCAATCACCTCTGACTCACCGATCTCGTCCTGGACCAAGCCATAGGTGATGTTGTCCTTGATCGTGGCAGCAAATAGTACAGGCTCCTGGCTTACTAGCCCGATCTGCTTCCTCAGGGATCGGAGGTTATATGTCCTCACATCTCGGCCGTCGATTCTCACTGTTCCTCGTTGGGGGTCGTAGAATCGTTCGATCAAACTGATGATAGTTGATTTCCCGGACCCGCTCTGTCCCACCAGCGCTGTCGATTTCCCAGCTTCTATTTTCATCGTGAACCCTTGGAACACAATCATGTTGGGTCGGGTTGGATAAGCAAAATCCACGTCTTGAAACTCAATTAAGCCCATTATCCTTTCAGGCTTGTAACCTTTTGGATCCTCTGGCTCAATTCTCGTTTGTCGGTCCAATGTGTCAAACACAGACCGAATAGATTCCGAGCCCTTGGCAAGGTCCGTGATCATGGCTCCAGCATTGGCAATCACCGGACCGGTGTTGATCAGAATTAAGAATGTCTCAAACACGGCTTTAACTGAGATCTCTCGCTGAGAGACGAGTTTCCCGCCATACCACAAATCTAGAGCAGTGGTCAACAACATGAGGCATTGTGAAGTGGAGAGCCCTAGACCGGCGTACCAAGACTGTTTAATGAACTCTCGTCGTGGGGATTCTTGGGCTTTCTCAAGCATTGAGAGGATCCGGGCTTGGGAAGAGAATGCGGTGATGGTTCTGAGGTTGGAGACTACTTCGGCTGCGAGCTTGCTGGTCTCGTTATGGGATTTGACGGCTCGTTGAGACATGGACTTGATCAGGATATGTCGAGTGTAGAAGCAGATGATGAAAATGGGTTGAACTGCGATCATTATGATGGCGAGCTTGGGAGCAATCATGAGCCCCATCGTCCATGCTACAATTACTGATGAAAGTGTTTGTACAAGGAGGCTCATACGATCGCCAACTACGGTTCTCACCTGCAATCCCAAGTAGCAGAATGGTCAATGTTCATTTGTTAAATAGCACTTCGAAAATTGGTAAGGAAAAAATGCAAAATCTATAAATGTTACTCACCACATTGGCATCTTTGGAAAGTCTAGAGTAGACTGCACCACTCGAATTCTCATCCTTGTCAAACCAACCAACCTCGAAAGTGAGAATCTTTGACAGCATCCGCTCGCGAACCCTTTTTGTCAACTGCTCGCCCATGTAGCCGAAATTGTAATGTTGAACAACGTTAACTATCAGAGAAGCAAATGCCAATCCCAGAAAAGAGAGCGAATATATCTTAGTCTTCTCCTTAATCTGATCGTGGTCTTTGAAGAAATACACTGATATCATCGACCCCATGGCAAAGGAATATGTGGGTTGGACTCCTCCAAACAGTATCGTGCCTATACATCCCATAAATGCTTGCTTCCATTCTGGTAAGTTCAACGCAATCAACCTAAAAAAATAAGGGTTTGGAACTTTTTGGGCCTCAGATGAGCCAGGGAGTGGTATATTTTCTGCCACGGCTGCACTCGATGAGACCCCTAGAGATAACATGCGGCTACTGGTGTTATTGATGATAGGAACTGGAGCGAGAGACAAGGACGAAGTAGCTTCATTCTGGTTGCCTTCTTTTTTATCTGATTGTAGAGTACGAACAAGGAAAGCATACGAGCCATCTTGGTGTTGGATTAACTCGTCATGAGTTCCTGTTTCAATAATGTGTCCATTTTGGATCACGGCAATGATGTCCGCATTTCGTATGGTTGAGATACGGTGGGCAATGATGATGGTGGTACGACCATAAGAAGCTTTGTCGAGAGCTTCTTGGACAAATTTTTCAGATTCTGAGTCTAATGCACTTGTAGCTTCATCGAGTAGCATGATCTTTGGTGATCTTATGATTGCTCTAGCTATTGCGATTCTTTGCTTTTGTCCTCCTGACATTTGTACCCCTCTCTCCCCAACCTAAAGCGTCAAAGTGGAGAGACAATGAGATAAAGCTACACTATTTGATAAATGAAGATTACTAATAAGTTATAACTAGATTAGAGTCCAAATCTACTACAAGGAAAGTCAAGATAAGAAAAGTAGGTATATATTGAGAGAATTGACACAAAATATGTAGAGAATGGGGTAGAGGGAAGTTCTTCGCCCCATCTCATGCTACTTGAGGGTCTTTTAATAACTGGGACAAATCATAATAGGTTGGATTGAGTGTTTTAGGTCACACGTAACATCCGAAGACTGATAATCTATTAGTCAAGTAGGTACTAGGCTAAGAGAAAGAGAAAAGATATAGTTGTATCAGCCATTACTACAGAGCATGTGACCTAATTAAGTTACATAGGGACCGTTGAGAGAAACAAAAATGCATCATGATACTAGAAGAAGTGTACTTTTAGACACAAGACACCGAATGAAATATGCACAATATAAATGCATATAAAGAAATAATGAGTTGTTTGGTATCATCGTAATGAAAAGAACTGTTAGGTATCATCGTATATGTAATAGCAAAGTAGTCAAATCTCGATTTAAATGCTAAAATCCTACGGTTTTACAATTTTATCAACCTGTTTCGATCCTAATTTCTCTACAAAATGTATGGACCTTAAAATCCTACCTATTACGGTTTAAATCCTTAAAATCTTTAAAATCTTACAATTTTGAAGGATTTTAATGATTTTAAGATCCAGGTTGAATTGATTGAATTTGGACCAATCAAACCGAGTTA